AATGGGGTGTAAAAAAAATCAAAAAAAAAAAATCAAAAGATCTCAGCAGGTGAGTGTCGCTGGCCATCTGACTCATAGTTCAAAGCACGAGGGCTCAGAACCCACACATACTCCACATGCAGCTGACCTTTCCATTACTCCAATAATAGAGTCTACAGACCTGCTGCTGCAAATGCCCCCACACTGACAAAGCTTTCGCTGGCTTTCTTTTCCTTTTTTTCCTCTTCTTCATTAGGTCGCTGTAAACTCAGTTGCAGCACAGCATGAAAAGACAAAGAGTTTATGTAAGGAATATATAGCCATTTTCTTTTATTAGGCGAGTAGATCAATGTGATAAAACCCGAAATAAGGGAGGAAAAACATTAGAGAGAGGAGGAAAAGTGTTAGTAGTCGGAATGTTATTTATATCCTCATCTTATACAGTGCTATAAATAAAAGAGTTAGATGACATCATAGATTGGTTTCCAAGATTAATACATTAATTTCGGCTAGGTTATCATATCTATATATTCAGTATAACTTGTGATTGATTCTTTTAATTGTACGACTGAAGTGGGACTCATTTTCATACTGACAGTGTGGAGACTAACAGCAATCCAATCACTTATTTTTTTCTACAGAAATGTTATTTCTCTGGGACTGTATCATTTGCAAATGAGGGGCAGCTATTTTACCCACATAAATTACCACAAAAATAAAGTTAGCTGTGGTGAATTTGGGCTGTACAACACACATACCTAGTCACACCACCAGACTACATGATTTAGAGAATATCACTGCTGTTGGAACAAAACCTTGTATCTCTAAAATGACAACAGGAGAAGCAAAAATACTTCACTTTTAATGTAAGTCAATGTAACCAGGCTGTGTTAGTAATTCTGTGCTGTTTCTTTTGGTCCATTCATCATGAAATTTACACACAGTGTAAAGAACAACTGGCTTTTTTAAAGTATGTCAAAAACTGACAAACAGTCAAAAATGGAGATACAAGGTTTTGTTCCGACAGCAGCGATATAATTCACTATTTCTAAAAATAGGATTTAGCAAAATCTCATTATTCTCATGTGTGAGTGTTGCTACTTCTGTTCATCTCATCCTGAGCAGTGTTTTCAGCAGAGCGCCCCCATCAGCTTCTTCATCTACCGCACAGATCTACTGTGACTACTGCTGCACATGATTAAGTCTGTTGTCCCTGTCTGTCTGTCTGTCTCTCTCTCTCTCTTTTCCTCTCTCTCTCACTCTTTCTCTCTCTCTTTCTTTCTCTCTGTCTCTCTGTCTTTCACTCTCCTGCTCACTCTCTTTGTCTCTTTCTGTCCTCTGTATATCTCTCACTTTTTCTCTCTTTTCTTTTTCTATTCCTCTCCTATTTCTTTTTCTGTCACTTTCTTTTCTTCTGTTCTTTCTTTGTTTATTTCTCACATTTTCTCTCTCTCTCTCGGTCTCTCTTTCTCTCTCTCTCTCTCTCTCTTCTCTCTCTCTCTGTTGATTTCTCTTTCTCTTCTGCTCACTTTTTACTTCTCCTTGCTTTCTTTTTATTCCCTCTCTGTCTCACTTCTGTCTTTCTCTCCTGCTCACTTTCTCTCTCTCCTCTCTCTTCCGTTTCGATTTCTCTCTCTGTCTCTCTGTCTCTGTATGTCTATCTCTCTCTCTCTCCCTCTCTTGCTTACTTTTTTTCCCTCCTCTCTGTTCTGTTCCAATTTCTTTCTCTCTCTCGCTCACTCTATCATCTATCTCACTCATTTCCTCTATATTTCCATCTCTTTTTCTGTTGCCTTTTTTATTTCTCCCTTCTATCTCTATCTCACACTTTCTCTCCTCTCACTTTATATCTCTCGGTTTTTCTCTTTCTCTTTTTCTCAATTTCTCCTTCTCTCTTTCTTTTTCTCATCTCTATCTTTATCTGTTGCTTTTTTCTTGCTTTCTGTCTCCTTCTCCCTCTCCTGTCTCTCTCACTCACTTTATGTCTCTTTTTTTCTCTTGTTATCTCTCTCTCTCTCTCTCTCTCTCTCTCTCTCTCAGTGCGTCATCCTCATTCTCTTCCACTGCCTGCATTGTTAGAGAATTTTTCATGCTACTCATGCCTGGTCTGTCTTGCATGCCATTGTAACCCTCGGCAACCAGTCTCCCGAATCCGCAGCCTCCTGGGAGACACCCCACATTCTCCCTCACACTGTCCTCTGTTCTCTCCTCTTCTCAAACAGAGCTTCAGGTTCCACACAAGCCCTCTGTGTCAGTTACTAGTTAAAAAAGCCCTATGGCCCCTTGATCTGACCATAGTAAGGGCAGTGAAAATCAGAGGGGCAGACAGACTAACTGTTGAGAGGGGTGGATACGAGGGATGCAGAGAGGTAGAGGGATGGAGGCAGTGAGAGAGGCTCTGGAGAGGCAATATCATACATGATGACCGGAAGTAGCCATGAGAGCGGAAAATGAATACACCATCTCTATCAAATAAACAAACATATGTTCTCTTCATGGAAAGAGCTGAACCTAATGAAGTGCTCAATCAGTGCATGCTCTAGCTATCCATAACTGTTGATATAAAGCCTAATAAATGTACCCAAGGCAGGGACCACCCTTCATATGTTTAATTTCCAGTCAAAACGGCCATTAAGTACAAGTAATTCATTTTTCAACTTCAGGAAAAAAGCAGAAAATACATATTCAACAGAAAATTACACGAAAGCCTCAGCAACTCAAATTTATGTCGTTTGTAGAAGTTTCTCCATCCATTGCCTTTATTACAGCTCCCATTCTTTTCGGGGGAGCTGGTTTCAGTTTTTCAAAAAATTCTGCAGGGATATTTTTCCACACCCCCAAAGTTGGTCAAACTTTCAAGTCAAAGTTGATTTATGTAGCACTTTTTCTCATTTCTTTTAGCGCTTGTCAAAAAGCAGCTTTACAGAAAAAAATCTGGGTCCAAACCCTAATGAGTGTTGCCAATGGCGACTGCGGCAAGGAAAAACTCCCTGAGACCAAGAGGAAGAAACCTTGAGAGGAACCAAGACTCAAAAGGGGAACCCATCCTCTTCTGGTCAACACCGGAGAGCAAACAACAACAGCAGAGAATCAAATTTGACCATCAGTATAAGATATGAAAAGGGGAAAAGCAGGAAAAGCAATGTATATGATTAAAAATGCAGCAGTATCATCAGGAGGGTCAGTTCATGCAGGTGAGGTTTGCACAGCGTTGTACAGCAGAAGTTCTGAAGGTGGTCAAACTGGTCCAAGCCGAAGGTGGACGGCTGGCAAGCAGTGGGCACTCGATCAGGGCAGATGAGGGCAAATGAAGCAACACAACACACCACAAATTCAGTCTTAGAAGATGGTTTTGTTTCCTGATTCTCACAATCCAAGTAATCCCAGTATTTTTAACTCCAGTTTTGTAATATCCTTTTTCACTTATTTTCCTTTGACCTTTTTCCTTCCTTATGCAAGTAGATTATCTGATATCTAACCTCTTCAGAAATATCTTCAGAAAAGTGAATAACTTGAGCTTAATGGCTGTTTTAATTAAAGATTAAATAAATAAAGGGTGATCTCTGACTTTTGCACAGTACCTGCCCTGGAGTCCAGATCACTCAGGATAAAGGTCAGAGGAGAAATGACATCAATGAAATGACAACAATGCAGAAGACTCTGATACAGAACAAATAAGTCAGAACACACTTACTGGCCACTTTATTAGAAGCCCCTAACTTATAGCTCCAGCTTGCTGGTGTACATACAGAAACTGTACAGTCCTGGTCCTGGAGATGGACCACCGTGGGGAGTTTAGATCCAACATGCCTGGCTCTAATAGTCACATGCCCCTGGAGGCCTTCATTACCTGGATCAGGTGGAATTGACTATGTTTGGAGCTAAACTCTGCAGGGTGGTAGATCTCCAGGACCAGGATTGGGCACCCTCGATGTAGCCCATCTGTTAATGCACAATTTGTTAGACATCTTTTAGCACTTCAACAATGCAATAACCAACCAAAATGTGTGATAGACTGTGTGATCAACTATGCAGATTTTGAAAATCTACTAAATTAATCTACTAAATTGACCATAATTTTCTCTAACTCTAAATCTGGCTCTGACCCTAACCTTAACCTCAACCCAAAACCTAAACCCAGCCTTCACCCTGGTCCTAGCCCTAACCCTGGTCCAAATCCTAACCCTAACCCCACCACAGTTTGTTAACAATTTGAACATCTGTAGATGATCTATAGGGGACTGTAGATGATCTATAGGGGACTGTATCCAAATAAAATGAGACCATAAAATAAATATACAAACTGTAAACTGAAACAAGCACATATAGGACTTTACTACGGCTAAAATATTATAATATGTAGTTATTTTTATATTTAATTGGATTTTTTTTTACAGTCAAACAATTCTGAAATCTGGGGGTGCTGCAGCCCCCTCAGCACCCCCACTTCTGATGTACCTTCACTGCTGTGCTGAGACTGAAGCTCACAAAGTAGCCAGTGAGTGTAGCTACAAGATAGGGGTTTCTAATAAATTGCCCGCTGTGTAGACATACAAATAATGTGTTTTTAATAAAGTGGATGGTGAGTGTATCATGCGCTTGCATGGCAGCCCACTGGGAACAAATACAATACAGGTGTGCCGGGTACAGCAGCCACTGATGTCTATGTGTTTGGTCATTAGTAATTGTTTGGTTGTCTTGGGTTAGTACTGCTTTGAAAAAGGATGCATGTTGTGTGTTTATGAGCAAGAGGGCAGTGCAACACTCCATACTTGAGCACCCTCTGAATCTCAAGCCTTATGTTTGAGTGTATAGGGGCCAGTTTGTAGTGCTCTTCTGTATTTGCTGCAGTTCGGTCTCTAGGGAGTTTGCACTGGAGACAGTTTCTACTGCAGCATCCAAACTGGAGTCTCCAGCCCAGCACGCCTCTTGACCTTGTGTTGTTTACCTCGTCTGCGAATATGTGGTGTTCAGTCCCCTGGTGGCTGATGCTGAAGTTTTCTATTCACTCTCTTTTTCAGCCACAACACCTCTCAAGAGCTAAAGGCAAAGACCACGGGTAAGCCTCTCCACAGTTTATCATCCACAACACTTCGCCTCATGCATTTTAATGCAGAGTCTTACAGATCATCTTGTTTAACCCTTAGAAGTGTAGAGATATTTTTGTTGTTGTTGTTTTATTGTACAGTCAGTTTATATGACATAACTGAATGTAACTTATTAGAGCTGTCAAATGATCACAGTTAATCAAAGTTTTTGTGTAGATAATCTTGATTGATCACATTGGATCACACTGCTCAAATTTAAACCTAAACAAAGATATTTGTCAGTTATATATATATATATATCGCAACATATACAGCAACATACACTGTGCCGCAGCTGGGCTTCAGCTTGCACAACTACAGAAGGTTTGAAGGTTCAAGCAAGCAATGCTGTGTTAATTTATCACTTTATTACAGGGTCATGTGTTATTACTATGCTATTTATGACAGCAATAGTAATTACATAAGTAATTATATTAATTATAAGTTACTAGTTACTAATGGGTCACATTATCTAGATGTTTTGAGTCTGCATTTTGACTTTGACTGTTTCAGTGTCCAAAAATGAGAAATGTGGCAAAAAATGTAAACCATGTTTCATTTTTCTGCAAATTTTAATGCACAATTTCAGTTTATTTGCGTAGTTTAACATCTTGGAAAACAAGACTAGGCAAGCCTAGTTTTGTGGGACCACCAAGCTACATGTTATCTTGTCTGCAACTTTTGGTAAATTACTCCAGGGGCAAAGCAGCCATTTTAAAAGTGAGGAGCACACAGTTGTCACTACATGACACCCCTCAAACTCCACACCCCACACTTGTAGGTTTCGTAATATGATTATACAGCCTGTAGCAGTGTGTGTGGTTTTACAATGAAATCATTTTGAAGGCTTGGGGCAATAATAAACAAACATAACCCAAGGGATGTTAACCAGCATCAAATTATTAATCAAATCATTCATCTATTGAAATCGTAGTAAATTATCTTCTGCATACAAACATACAAGTTTACAAACACACAAGCTTACAATTAAGTTTTTGAAAGTTTAGAATCTGTAATGTTTACAGAATTTCTTTGCTTATTTCAGCGTTAATTACAAGTATGTTTGAGTGATTTACAAGTAAGAAATGATGCTTTTTGTGTTTGTTGTCAACAGTAATTGTGAATTTTAAGGCTTAAAATACAAGTTTAGTCTTTTTTTTCCTCCTTCCCAAAGCTGTGTTCTGTTTCACGTAGTGTAAGTTTTTACCAATGATGTTTCAAATGATGTGCATTTGGTAAGAGTGGGGTCAGCAAAGACCTCTACGGCAACGAGTCCACGTCAGCTTTATTCCGTGAAGGACGCTGCAGAGTTTCAGAAGTCTTGACATTTTAATTCCGGAAGATGCAGCAGGTCAATGGTTGCCATGACGAATTCATTTCAGTGTCCTGTCATTAGAGAGACCCTGCCAAGTGCTTGTCTCCCCTTCACCTCGCATGCTAAGCCTAGTTACCGTTAATCACCGACGCTTTGAGTCATTAAAGACTCAGACACAGGTGTTAATATATTAGGCGCAGGCGCTGCGAGACGTACTTGTGCGCGTGTAGGGAGAGGGCGACCGCTGGTTGCTAAGCCGAGGGAATTCACCACCACGTTTTGCTTTCCCAGACACGTAGGAGGCTGATTGACGGCGCTGACATCAACAAGTCAAACTATTTTTAAACCGTGTCTCTCACATCTTAATTACAAAAAACACAAAATGAGCGAACCTGTCTCCTTTGCGGGAAATTGCCACTGCTTTTTTATTTTTTTATTTTGTTTTTTTTGTTTTTGTTTTGTTTTTTTCAGAGTCCGTGCCATTGTGCTGTCCAGGGAAATTAGATCTTGTTCAGACAAAGAACAAACGTTGTTTAGATCAAAGGAGATGAATTAGACAAGTGTCTTGTGCAGATCACATTTAAGATGCTCAGCCTCCCTCAGTTCAAACATGTTGTAGGGAACAAGCACGTCTCAGCAGAGCTAGGCTGCAAATGGAATTGTAATTGTAATTGTAATATCTCTTTACCAAAGTTTGTTTTAATAAATCCGTCAATAGAACACTTATACAAACACTTAAGAGGCATGTTTATAAAGGGGAATTCTACCCACTTCTCAAATTTCCTTCATAATTCGATTGTTGAGATGTAAATAAAGTCATCCAGAGTGGTTTGATGGTGAAATGGTTCATTACTGAGAAACTTAGACAGAATTCTTTACAGTGGTGGTGATAGGAACCAGGGGTCGCGATGTCTGCAATGCAAATATAGCCATTTTATTTACTATCAAAATGATGTCATAGACCATTGGACTATGTCCAATGAACCTACTCAAGTCTTCTGAGTTTTAGATGTAATGTTGATGATGGTAAAATACTGTTAAATCTGAAACAATATATTTTCTTTAGGGACTATTTTGCCTCACACTCACCATTAATGGACTTTACAAAGTATGTCTGATGACAAAACCTTATTGCAAAACTATTGTAAAACAATGTCTCTGGCATCAGGCAGTGTATCTGTAATCATTTCATGTATTAACGTTCATTGATGTAGCTTTTAGAGGTGCTACATTATCTGAACGTCTGGTTCCTATCACCACCACTGTGACTGTGTTTACACCTTAACCTTTGAATTATGCAGAAAAAGATTAATAGAATCCCACTTTAAATATTTATCAAATAAGGCTATATGTGCTTGTCTGTGGCATTTCCTGATTTCATAGTCACTTTTCTTTTGTAAAGGACTCATAACTACCCTGAGGCTAGCTTAAATGAATAAGGCCGAGGCCTAGTTAGCTAACATAGTTAGACATTGAGAGCATGCTGAAAAAGTAATACTCTATCATGTAGAATGTTTTATGTGGCTTTTGGATAACCACTAATTAGAAGAACGCTTCTGATCAAAAAACTCTTAGAAACCCCTTGTAGCTCCACCTAGTGTACAGTACAGAGTATGTAGCTCATCTGCTGATGCACAATTTGTGCTAGCCTCCTCTAGCTCTTCATCAGTTGTCAGTTTCTGACCACAGAGCTGCACTTGTCTGGATATATTTGGGTGGCCGTCCACTCTGCAACCTAGCAGTGACAGTGAATGTGTATAAACCTCAGCAACGTTGCTGTATCTGATACACTCATACCAGCACCACATACACTAGCATAACACTACCATAACTAGACACATATAGAAAAACACAGTATGAAAATGTGTCATGTTGGAATGAACCGACCAGTTGAGACATCTACTCTCGGCAGTGTTTAAAGGCGCAGAGCTGTTTGAGGCTGCTATACTGGAGGAAGGCTAGTATAATGTGTTGCCCACCTAGTCTGGCTGTTCAGATGCATGACAGGGAGATGAAATTGGCTCTGACTCAATGGAGATAAAAATAAGCACAGATTAATAATAGTTACAAAAAAGGTTAATAGGCTCCAAGTACATTAACCCTGTGAGGGCTTTCATTGTGCCAGGCATCATCCTACTTTACATCCTATTGTCTACCTGCCATTTTTTTTTTCTTTTTTGAATGTACATTTGAAGATTCACCCAATATGTACAGTCATATGCAAAAGTTTGGGCACCCCATTCAAATGACGTTTTCTTGATTTTCTAAGTGAAATTCAATGAACACATCCTCGACAGAGAACATGCTTCTGCACATTTTAATGCACATTTACTGTTTATTTGCTGAATTTAACATACTGGGGAAGAAATGTAATGTTTTATTTTTCCACTATGTAAAAGAGAAAAGTTGTGCACTCAAACTTGCAGATAAATGCCATTTTTAAGTGTGTTCTCTGTAGAGGACATGTTAACTTGTTTTTATCATTATCTTTTTTTTTTTTCATTATCATTTATTTCGTCTACATGAGTTGGAGCTATTTTATTGTGGAGAGCATTATATGCAGCTCTCCCATATTTTGCTTCTTGTGACTAAAGGCCTTTACACTCCAAGCACGACTTACTCGTGCCATTTTTTCGGATGCCAGTAAATATTTCAAACACGTGTGTACCTGATGATTTCTTGCATATCAAAAGTGATTTTCAGACAGCAAAAATGCAACGTTATTTTATTCGCACTCTGTTCAATTTAGTAGCGCTTTTGCAGGCAACAAGAACTCACTTGACCTATCCATGGGTGGAGCTGGATCTCTAAAAGCAGCTCAAAATGAGTAACTGACATTCAAGCAATCTGTGAAAGTGCTCATAAAGTTTCAGCTCCTGAATGAGGAGGTTAAACTCTGAACCCCTTTCACTTTTCAAAAAAGGAAAATAGCCCACCATGTGTTGTCACTGTCTTAGAATTGCTTGTTTGTTTTTTGTTTTTTGCAACATACCAAATAAACACAGCAAAATCCCAGAAACATTGCATCACATCCGGTGTAAGACACACTGAGGGTGTGTCTCAAAACCTAGTGACCTCTCTACATAGAGAGCATTTTACGTCACAACATGCGCACTCCCGACAAGAAGGCTGTCCCAATTCTTAGATATCTCAAACATGCTGCCTACTGAGATCTCTCATTTTGGCCCAATATCGAGAGAGCATTGGGTGCTTCCTCAGCCGCTGAGGCAATCCCGCAATGCAGCGCGGCGCAACTTTTGTTTGAGGATGGCGGGCAGAAGCGCTTCAGCAAGCAGCGACGTCATCTTCAAAATGTAAGTTGTTCTGATTTTCTGGGGTATTTATCTGTTTTCTAGTCATAAAGGTGCACAAATAGCCTTTACTTTCCGCGTTTGAGCACAACTATGGTCTATTTTGCTGTTTCATTCAGAGCAAATACCATTAAAATCGCTATATTAACCGGCAGAGCAGATCCATGTTGGCTAAATGTGATTCTGACGGCTGAGGTAAGTACACGCCGGTCTCGTGCAATGGGCGGGATCAAAGGGCGACGTCACTGCTGTCTAACTAGAGCGTCTCACTTATCTGCCTTATAAGGACAGATGACGGTTGGAGCGCTGCCTACTTAGACAGCTGCCTAGGTAGACAGCGGCTACT